ACATTCAATTTGAAGTTGCCAAGACTAGGAAGACTCCAATGGATTTGGATGACCTCTCTAGTAGGCTTAGCATTAACCACAATATTGGCATCAAGCCATTCACTAGAGAATTGCAGAATAGTGTGATGGGGGTTGGGAGGAGGCTCATATCCAGGGTTAAAAATAGAGTTACATCTCCTAGAGTTACATCTCCATTTCCAACAATGCCAAATAGAAGCAGTAAAAACAAGAGTCCAAGGAAGGTTTCCGTAGAACATAATCTTGCTCTTAAGGTTGATTCTTAGCCAATCAAAAAAGGGTAAGGAGAAAGAGTGAAGAACATCAAAAGGAACCTTTATGTAATTCCATACCTTAAGAGCAACTCTACAACCTCTGAAAACGTGATCCATAGTCTCAGGAAGGGAGAGGCATTTGTGGCAGTTAGGATCAGTTGTCATCAATCTCTTCTCCCTTTGAACATTAGTAAGGATTTTGCCATGCCCAATTAGCCAAACAAAGTTTTTTAACTTTGGAGGCAAGCATAGCTTCCAAATGAAATCCCAAGGCCAAGGCAAATTATCTTCTTTCTTTTCCCTCTAAGAATGCATAAGGAACGAAAAGCTTCCGCCCTTGGCCTTCTTTTTTCTTCTTCCCCCACGAAGAGATAAAGAGAGAAGCCTGAGAGGTAGGCCTCTCTCTCTCTCTCTCTCTCTCTCTCTCTCTCTCTCTCTTTAAGAATATGCAAGGAAAAATCAGTTTGAAAAGCAAATGTTGATTTTCTTCTCCTTCAGCCTTCTCCTCATTGTTCATTCCATTTCCTAAGTTCGTTCATGCTTGAAGTATCATAGGAAACAGAACTGAAAACATGAGGGTTTTTTTAGAGAGTTGACAAAGTAGCATCAAAGACTTATACGAACAAGAATCATTTCAAAGCTCACGTGTTTAAAATTTATGGCTAACACTTTTCCTTCTATTTTCCTTCACAAATATTGTGTAATAGACGATGATACTTTTAAATTTTGGGCGCCTTGCAAAGCTTGTAATCCTCTATTCTTTAGGAGTAAAATGAACTTTGACACATGCATTATTGTGAGTTCTCCGTTGAAAGGTAAATGTTGTGCTTCCTCCTGTACATAATTTATGATTAGGGAATTGTTGCTTTGGTGCTCATGATCTTTCATTCATGCATTATTTTTTGCTTTATCTCAACATTTGTGATACTTAAGATGGGCTCAAAGTGATTGGATTGGCTCCTGTATTTCTAGTGTAATATTAGTTGGAGCTTTGTGTGATAGCTGAAATTAAATTTTGTATAGGCACATCATAGATATAAAAATGTGAGTACTTATATCTTTTCCACACATCTTCTCTTCCTTTCCTCTCTCCTTTTCTTCTTTTGCAGGAGGAAGAGGAACTTCAAACATTCAATAAACAGGTTGAAGAAGATGGGAGAATTGTTATATCGAGGAGCAATTGAAATGAATTACATGAGGTATTTTTTGGTTCTGCTTAAATTTTATATATTTGAATACATATTAATTATATATTTAAGAAGTATAGCCGTGCGGCTATATTTCTAAAATAGACTCGAATATTTAAACCGTCTAGCCGCGCGGCTATACTCTTTTAAACAGTACAGTGCACACAAGGATTGCAAGTTTGTATCCATGATGGGGTATGAGGATGTGATGCACCAATGGGCTGCCCGTTGGAATGAGGTAACAGATCAACCTGATGAAACTTCTTTCTGCAGCTATTGTGAAGAGCCATGTAGTGGGTCTTTTCTTGGTATGGTGCTGCTTGTGGTGTCAAAGACTGGTACATGTGGATTGCCACAGTAGCATGTCCAATGAAACAGGTGATATTTGTGATTTAGGTCCATTCAGAAGGTTGATTATATTCTATCCCTTCTTCATGAAAAGGAATTGAGCCAGACTTCCGCTGGTAGATTTTTGAGCTCCATTACTCAGGGGGCCAATGAGATAGCATCTTCATTCAGTACGTGCAACTATTAGGAGTCAGAGCAACAAGTCCAATCATGGAAATGAAACCTCTGTTAACATGGGAAATAGTGTTAGTACTGGAGATATGTCCACAGAAAGCACAGCTCATACTCATCACGCTGTTAATGGTTCTCATAAAATTGAGGAAAACCGTAATGGTACTGCAAAATGCGGATTTGCAGCACCAAGATGGTGATGTAGATAGGACCACAAGTTTAGATTTCGGGTCTTTTGGACTTGAACACGCCTAGTATAGAAGAACCTAAACCGGGGCTGACTGTGTTGAGTGGCTTCTCCGACAATTTGAACAAGTTATTCTAGGACAATGGTGGAGAAATTGGCCCGCACCAACTCATGGAAGCAGCCATCGCTGACAAAGAGTATCAAGCTCTCCGTGTGGTGGACTGACTTTATACTTTGAGGTATTGATGATCTAATCTGATGATATGGTTTCATAAATTAGCTAGAATATTAATTAATTGGTTTACTAACTTTTATGTAGCACTGATATATAGCCTACCCTGTGCTTAGAGATTATTGAGCAACATTTCATTTCATCATCCTGCATGCATCATCCGTTTTAGTTTAATTGAATTGAATGTGAGAGTCGAGTTATTTTCTAGCTAGCAATGTTTTCAGTTCTGAAGGTGAAAACTATTGGTATATGTAATGATTGGGGATGGATTATAGCTTTTATATTATATTATATTATATTCGAAACTTGAAGATTCATATGGTTTTTGGGCACTGGAAGGAAGATTAGAAACAAGATTACATACTGTTTTTTATTTGAAGTACGGGGGAGAAGAACTAAAATATGGCTGCTGCAATGGCTATATATGATCATGAAACTCCACATTGGATTAGGATTGTTTATATCACAGCCCTTATTCATGCTAATTCTGTAACATGCTTTAAGCCCTAGGTGAAAACTTGTGCTGAGTTTACTTTTACCTTTGTCTAGAACTCAAAGGGTAAAGCAAAAGGAAAGTTAAACATAATGAAGCCTTGAGCAGATGCTATTGAAAAATAAACTTCAGTTGCTTAGCTCCTCAATCTCTATTTGACACTCTTACTCTTACGACTCTCACTTGCACTTAGAAGTCTCCCTTTGATTTCTTGTATGACCTGCATCACAAGACTAGGGGAGGTGCCTTTTTATAAAGCCACACTTTAGTGCATCTTTTGAGTTCAATTCAATTTTTTGCACGTTGTTCTTTGCTCTTGTGAGGAACTTTCCTGGCAGATTCCCTCAGATCATACCAGACAAGTTAAATCTAGTCTTCCTCATAGCTACTGGCCACCTTGACATGTTGGGAGGGGTGGTGATATCCTTGAATGCCTCATCAACAATGTGTTAAACACAATAAAGGGTACTATTTTCTTTTTTGCTGTGCATTTTCTAATACTCGTTTGGCTGTTTTGATTATTTACTTTGGCGTGTAGTCCCTAAAGTTTGGTAATCTAATTTATAATGGATCACTATAATTGGTAATGCGTGCTAAGTCTCTGAACTGCTGTTCTGTTTGGGACAGGTTGGCTTTCTCGTGCTCGAAGATTGGCACAGGGGCAGTCAATTAAGATACATCTCTTTGCTGCATTGCCTGTTTTTGTTGATGGGGAGCCTTGGTTTCAGCAACCTTGTACATTGGCTATATCCCACAACAGCCGGGTCTCTCTCTCTCTCTCTCTCTCTCTGGACAAAAGGGTGTTGATTAGTTTCATCAAATTTTACTTGCCGCAGTTCCCATAGATTCTCTCCCAATGACAATCAAGTTTATAGCTAAATATTTGTCTACTTTTTTCTTCATATACACCATATCACCACATGTATCTTTCTTTTTGTGGTTTTAATAGGATGCTTCTAGTTGGAGCATGGTTGTAAATGAACCTTGTTGAACGTCAATGGAAAGGGAACTTCACACAGTTTTGTTGATAACGGACAAAGACCAACTGCTATGTATTGTGTTTGCATTTTACAGCTTTGATTTATAAGGACATTTGGATTGAGGAAATCATATATTACAAGGCTTGAAATTGGGTATGAAATTACATGCTCGGCTTGGTTTTGATGGCAGACTAGAATACTAGGCTTAATTATGCTATACATAGTTGATCAAACTCCAGGCAAGTTGGGGAGGGGTGAGGACCTGAAATCAGTCATTCCTTGGCTTGTTCTTGAGAAATCCTTGCTTTACTTTCCTCCATGCCCTTGTCACAAACCCCATCGAAGCTGCCCTGGGAGGCCTTGTACTCGGCTTTTTGTCAGCGGTGGCAGCCGCACAAGACAGTTGCTGGTGGCACAGAATTCTCTTGGGTGTCTTGACATTTTGTTTGGAAACGCGACTCAAGCCTTGTATATAGAAGGGTGACTTGTAGCAGTACTTTTTTTTTTTTTTTTTTTTTTCTGGTTTTGTTTTGAGAGAGAGAGAGTGGTTAAGGGTTGTTTATTAGGTTTAAGAAAGTGCTTATTGGTGGATGCGGATGGGTAGTTTACCTTGTAAGCGACGTTGGTTAAGTAAATGTTAATGTCAAAAGCTAGGGACTTGCATTGTTTTATACTTCCTCAATAGGGCATGTTCTCACATGGAGATTAAAATCTCAATTCTCCCTCGTCATCTTTACAACTGATGCGAGTATTTACTTTTGGGTTGGGAGACATGTTAGTGTCTCATGACGCATAGTCGTGCCATAATCTTAAAAAGCAAGTGAGCTTACTGCTTAGATCTGACTAGCAAAGGTGCCCGCGCGATGCTGCGGGTTATAAAACTGTTTAAAATGTGTACAAAATTATGAAAATATGTAGGAAGTTTAAGTTACAAAATAAAGACTAATAACATGTTTTATATGTTGCTTGTCATCTTAAAATATTGATTATATTTTATTAAACCAAGCAGCAATCAAAATATCAACAGTTGAGCTGCTCCTTGTTCAAAAGAGTTTGGACATGTCTTTACATATATGCTATTGGTGGGGGAAGGGACAACATAGAAAATAAACTCTGCAAGCAACAAAATCCCATAAAGACAGTGCCTAAACATATTATACTCATAGAATCAATAACAATTTTCCATTTTTTCTTGTAAAGTAGAAAACGGAGAATTTCAAAAACTCATCACAGAGTTCTCATTCATAATCTCGACTCGACCCTTAATTAATCAGAAAAAAATGTATATACAGAGTCATCCTGAACAAATCGTGTTGCCCATCATGATCCAATTTCGTTTGCTATTTCTAGTCCTTTTGTGCATTATGCACAAAAATTTAAAAACCCAAGCAATAGACTGAAAACAGGAAAGGAAATAAAACATGCGTAAATAAACTTTTAAATTATCAATCACACTTAAACTATAATTAAGCAAAGCAAATGCACAGTGATATTGATAGAACCACAGAAATAAGAATTTTTAAATGCCATAATATTTTATAATCAATAAGCTACAGCCACAGCTATCTAAAATACGAAGACAAAAAAAACAAAATTAGATCAAATCAACACAAAACAACCAAAAATATGAATATGAAACAAATTAAAACATGAAAAGTAACCAACTCATTTCACAACTCATTTTCGGTTTTGAAAAAGCTAGGAATCCCATTGCTCAATCAGTGGTTAAAAATAAGGAAATTAAGGAAAACAAAGGAAAATATTGAATGTCGTCAACACGTAATAGTGCACCTACATGCCTTTATCGACGTTGTTTTTCAACTGGAAGACCGAGAGCCAACTATTGAGACTTTGGGTTATCCGGATACATACTTTGTGAAATGGTTCGTTTGAGGAAATTACCCAAGAATTCCTAAGAATGATGTTCTGGACCACATATCCAAAATTAATTTCTCACGAATAACAATCTAATGGTAGAAGATTAAAATGTAAAAAAAAATACAAAATTACCAATTGAATCAACCTAAGCTGATGAGAAGTGAATCCACTCAGACTAAGAGCAGGACGTATCTTAAAGAAAATGGTTCATAACTGTTGTTGGGAGTCATTTGAGTTTCCCTGAAATTGGAGTTTCCCATTATTATTTCTCAAAAACCCAGCACGGCCCACTAATATTAGTGCTTGTGCCGTGCTAGGTCAGCCCTTCTAGTTTGACAGCTCTACTTCAAAGAAAAAAGATGCAAAAGCACATTTATCTGACACCTATAGTTCAAAGAAAAACACTGTAAAAGCACAGGAAAAGGGCTGTTTAAATGACCCTAGATGCATTTGAAACAAAGAGTATACGATCAAAAGTTACCTATGCAAAAGTCACCCTAAACAATGAAGATTTTTTATTATTTTTCAATTCCATTTTTCTGTTTTTCCCTTTTTTCCCTTAAACAGAGATCAAAATTTCATACTCTAATTCAATAATTGAGTTTTCTCACAGTCTCTTCTAACAATCTAAAGATCAAGCTCCAATTTTGTACTAAACATATATGTCTGAAAATCAACCTAAAACATCAATCAAATGAAACCAAAGGCAGTTTATAACGACTCCATGTCCTTTTTCATGTTAAAAAAGCTCTCCCTAAAAAAGAAAAAGTTTCAAAAAACTTCAGCACACGAAAAGGCATTAATATATAATCAAAAGCAGTATCATGTTGTTATCACTCTTATCAACAACCCCGCCAAATACATCATATCTTCCGTAAACTAAAGGGAAAGAGTCAGAAATATTAATATGTATCTAAGCACAGATCATACATGAAACAGCTTGTCATTGGTTCAAACCACATAACAATTACTTGGCTTTATTTATAGCTGTGCAACCATAACAATTAGTTCAAATTTATCCTAACCAATTGTCAATTGATACCATCAGCTAATTATCATGCTTTATTCACAGACTCGAAACAATAAATTGGAATTTCAACATAGAAATGTACCTCTTGCTTAACAGAACCAAGAACAACCACCAAACAGCTCTATCTAAAACAGCAAAACACCACCTACAAAACATGAAAAGCAGATATGGTTTAGAGAGATGAGGAGAGAAAGCAAGAAAAAATCGAAAAAATTGCAATTTCTGATTTTCTAGTCCCAAAACTGTCCAAATATGTTTTTCTGTGCAGTGTTTTTATATGAGATGCTTAAAATTTGTTAGTCCATTACTAAAACAAAAGAAAAATCCTGGAAAACAAAAACAAACAGAGACAGAAGAAAACAGGATATCTAGTGACAACAGACTAAACAACTAAAAAGACCATTGCTTGTAATGAGAAACCCCAAATCCATACTGTTTTTGCCCAAAAACTTCAACCCATCAATCCCACATTTTTTCCTATTTAAAACCATCATCCAAAGAGCCGTGAACCCCTAAAGTATAGCCATTCAAAAAAAATTAGGGGCAAAATATTTACTTCTTGTTGATCAAGCTCATGAAAAATTGATTCCTTGTTTGGACCCCAAAATTTTTAATCACAAACTACATTCCTACAAAAGGATCCATAAATAGGAACATCATTATTCATTAAGGTAAAATATGGCGAAAATCCTCCAAACAATCCAAATCCAAAACAAAATCATCAACCAATCGAATCAAAAGCAACAATCTTCTTTCCTTTATTTTTCTACTTCTGTTTTACTTTACAACAAACAAAAGAAAACCATGAAAGTTTAAAAAAAATAAAAAGAAAAAGAAAACCTAGAAGTACTGTAAAGCGATTCAAAAACAGCAAAAACAACAAAATAATCAACACAAATGATTACTCTCATCTATTTTAAGTCAAGTCCAGTGCCACACAACATGGAGTATCTCAATTAATATGCTCTATATATATTTGTTTTTTTATCATCAATCTATCTTTAACTCCCCCCCACCCTCAGAAATATTAGATAAACACATCAATAAAAATGCATTGAGACAGTTAAGAACAACTTCCACCATCGACTAAAGAGACAGTTAAAAGCCAAAACTCATATTATTCAATGTCAAAACGGTTTTCTACAACTAAAGTAAAACCTACCAAAGCCCATTGGTAAAAAGGGAAACATTTGGTTTACATACATTTCTAAGTAAGTTGAACTAAATAACCACAGGGAAAAGTAGCATACAAATTGCAGGGAGTAAGATTCATTCCCATAATGTATTGGAAAAGTCCCCTGTAATTGGAATAGCGTCGGCAACAGGGTTATTGATTACATTAGTTCTTGTCTATTTCTTGTGGAAGAAATACTTGGGAATGGAAGGTATAGTGCTACCACCCTTCTCTTTCTCTTTGTCTTTCTCACTCATACAAACACATATATTTTAGTGTTCCAAACAACCAATGCTCTAATAATAAGAATGAAACAGGGAGCACGGAAGGCAGTATGAGTGAGACTATAAGTAAAGCCAGAGCTGAAGCTGCGAAGAATGATGCAGAACTACCACTATTCAATTTAAAAAGAGTTTTAGCTGCAACAAACAACTTCAATGTAGCGAATAAACTGGGAGAGGGAGGATTTGTCCCTGTTTATAAGGTGACACTTTCTAAACTGCTTGATAAATACTAATGTACAGTTTATCTAATATATGCTAACTTGGACAGGCCAAAGACATAACAGATTTAGGTTCCTTGAAGGAGGCAGCAAAAATTTTCATTCCGAGTATATTGTAGCATAATTTCTGTTTTCTCAGCCTCTCTGATTCTATAAACCAAAAACTTCAATATATAACTTTAATTTTCTGTAAGCATTGATCTAGATTTACATTCTCTTTGTCCTGACAACTCAATCGAACATCTTCTGGAAGCAACCCAATCAGAGGATCCATTCCCATGGGATAAGGAAACAGACATGAGGATCCATTCCCATGGGATAAGGAAACAGATAAGGAAACTTAGTTGTGATTTTCAATTATGTGCAGATGTCAGAGCAGGGTTATTCATTCTACTGGGGGCAATTCTTTTCAGCATAAATGAAACACAACCCAAAACAATTTAAAATTAAAAAAAAAAAATTTAAAACAATCACTATATCAATCAACAAAAACAATTAAAAAGAAAGATCAAAAGAGAAACCAAATAATAAATATAACTAACAATTGAAATATTCATCAATTTTAATCTTTTTTAAAAAAAAAAAAAACCTGCCTAAACAATCAAAACTCTCCCTAAACAATCAAAATCACAAAACCACTCTCTCACTTAGGATTGAATCGTTGCACAGACTATGTGATCTACATAAGCCTGCCGCAATCCTAATATCTAGGATATTATGTTCAATTGTAATTTTAAAGGACAAACCATACACATTCAAGCAAGAACTCTACAGCATACCTGCTCAATCAGGCCATACAATTTTCAGAACTTATGTACCAAGCGTATCGAACTGACAAAGTAAACCATATGTTTCCCCAGGCACCATATGCTTAAGAGTCCATCTAGATAAATGGGTTTTAAAACATGATTTATTTCTAGAAAATAAAAGGAAACCTTTCTTTCTCGATGACCCTAAACGAAATAACCCTAGAAATTGATGTTTGTTGAACATGGTTTTCTTTGAGGGGATGCAAACCTGAAGAGAAACGATGGAAGATCTTGCAGATCGAAAATCTCTCAGACGAACTTTGGAAAAGATGGCTGAACCAACGACAGATGAGATGAGATGAGATGAGATGAAGACTAAACGAACGGCGCGATTCGTAAGGCACCAGCCCAAATGGAAATCGACGCCCCAAAGGAATCCCGAAGACCGAAGCGGTGCATCCCATGGCTGCCCCCCAACCAGCCTAACCAAGCTGGTAGGAAGCGGACGATCGCTCTGTGGAAACGAAACAGTGGGGAGAGTTAGCATCCAAAGAGAGAGGGGCAAAAAGGGAATATAAGGAAAATTTTTTAAAAGGGCAAAATCGACAATTTACTGTATTGATGGGAAAAATAAGGCCGTGTAACAGTGAAACGGGGGTTTTTCTGTCAGTTTACTGTTCAAGAAACAGTGCTTATAAATAGTATCTGGTTGCATTGGGCTTTAGTATATATATAATTTCTTTCTTTAAAACTACTCTTAAGTAATTAAACTTCTTTTCCTCATTACCTCTCAAATCTCCTCCATACATATCGTTACTAGAGAAAGAGAGAGTTGAGGGTCCTCTAAGTTCATTCATCTAAGATAGGATAGTCTAAGTTCATCAAATGCTAGTTAGCGAATTTACTTATTAATTGAACTTTGAAGATAAATATTACTAGAGTAACGATTAGAGGCACCATCGGAACGTGATGAAAAAACATAAAATATTTACAAGTGACTCATAAAATCTTCCATTTTTATTTACAAAACGCATTAATACTTACCTTTCAAATTCTATTAAAACAAATGGAATGATTTCAAACCATGAAACCCATATATTAATACTCACATCCTATGAAAGTGTTTTAAAATTGAAACCAGGAAACAAACTTACATTCATAAAAGTAAAACTCTTATGAAGGCAAAATATATTGTTGCCAATATTCACCAAAGGTCAAGGCAATCATTACAAAGTCAAAGCTTGCAACTACCCCATTTATGACATTCTGTTAGTCTAAACTTTACTGTGTGCGCCCGATCTCATTCACAACTTTTATCACGATAATTCCACAAGCATAGCATGTGAGATGAATTTATATACAAACAATTGTTGCGGTATGATGGTAATACTTAGTAACTTACACTGTGTTACAAGTCCATTCAAATTATAACATGTATTTATATCGTTTATAAAGTTCATTATTAATTTAGAATTTAGAAATGAGATTGTATTTTCCACTTTAATTTACATTTTTTTTGTTAGACCACATTCATGTACTTAGTAAGTGAATGTATGCAAATCCTGTTAAGTAAGGTAACTTAATAAATATGCAATCCTGCTGCTCTGCCTCTTCTCCTGGTTGCATTTGTAGTTTACTTCACGCTTTGCCATCATCAACTTTGATTTTCTTTGTGCTAATTTGTGGGCATCTTCTCAGGTATGAACACGTTAATCTCATTTGTTTCGGAATCAAGGTCATCATTAACTGTCACTTTTCTTCAACTTTATATGTATAAATTGCACGTCCTTTCTGCACTTTGAAGTTTCCTTTTCACTAGCTATGGTAAAACTCGGTTACATCACATCACATGCCATGGAAAAGTACCAACTAAGACATGCTGTTTGTGTAGTGGCACATGAACCAAAAACGCGTTATGTCCAGCTTTTACTCATTTTGATCAGCCATTTGTTGTAATGTGATCTATGGGTTTGGTCAGACTCAGACCCTTGATATTGATATAAAACTTTGTTTTTATGCAAAACCGATTTTTCTTCTTCTGTTTTCTGTGTGTTTTAGATTTAATGAGATGGGTAGTCTTGGAAATTTGACTTTGATGAGTGGTTTTCATTCTTCGGAAGAGAAAATAGTGGGTGGCAGAATTTCCCTTGCTTGTTACTGAAAGGCGTGTCTGGAAACGTGTTGAACGCTCCAGTCCAGCTTTCTTTTAATCTATCTGACTTTGCTTTGGTGTGTGAAAGTATATAGATAGATGTAGATCTTACAAGTTACAAGTGGCTTTTGGGTAATATTTAAAGAAGGTCCTTGGTCTCTTACTTTCCTGTACCAGTTGTAGTTGTAGTTGTGGTCTCTCTCTCCTATTCTCTCTATAGTTGTGGTGGTCTCTCTCTCTCTCTCCTATTTCCATATTTGAAGTCTACAGAAAGCTTCTTCTTCTTGAGGTACTTCATTGTGAACTTTAAGGCCTACAGGGACCCTTTGTAAATTAGGTTCATATTTCATCATTCCTTGCATATTTGGATGCTTAACTGATATGACTTTTTTGAATTCTCTTGTGTGATTATTTTCACTTGTACAAGTACTCTGTTTTCATCTTTGTTCTATTTTCGCTTGTAATATAGAAACCTTTATGTTTTTGGTTTTGTTTGTGTGTGGAAGGACAATGCTAGATGTAGTCAAACTTATGCCAAATTAAAGGTCATGTCTTTTCTCTTTTAGTTCGGTTGAAATGCAATTGTTTTTTCCTTAGATTGGAAAATTTGACTCCATAAGCTTTGACAGGTTCATGTCATTGTCATGTAGACCATTCCTGCATCTATGTTATAGCCAAATTAGGTAGCTTTTATTCTGATTGTAGGAAAGAGGCAACCTATGGAGTTGACTGTAATTAGAAACTAATGTGATGAAGCAAATACTTGTTGTTTTTTCTGTGTATAAAACAAGTTTTTGTAGCCCCTTATTTTATCTTGGCAGATTGCTTCTTTCAGGTTTTTAACAGAACAAAATGGTGAAGATCTGTTGCATTGGAGCTGGCTACGTTGGGGGGCCAACCATGGCAGTAATTGCCCTCAAGTGCCCCTCCATTGAAGTAGCAGTGGTGGATATCTCTGCGCCCCGGATCGCAGCCTGGAATAGTGACCAGCTCCCCATTTATGAGCCAGGTATTGATGAGATTGTGAAGCAGTGCAGAGGAAAGAACCTCTTCTTCAGCACTGCTGTAGAAAAGCATGTCTCTGAGGCAGACATAATTTTCGTTTCGGTTAACACCCCAACGAAAACTCAGGGTCTTGGAGCTGGCAAAGCTGCAGACTTGACATACTGGGAAAGTGCAGCCCGGATGATTGCTGATGTTTCAAAGTCCAACAAGATTGTTGTTGAGAAATCAACTGTTCCAGTGAAAACTGCTGAGGCAATTGAAAAGATTCTCACCCACAATAGCAAGGGGATCAAGTATCAGATCCTTTCAAACCCAGAGTTTCTTGCTGAAGGTACAGCAATTGAGGACCTTTTTAGCCCCGACCGCGTTCTCATTGGGGGAAGAGAAACCCCTGATGGCCAGAAAGCAACCCAAGCATTGAAAGAAGTATATGCGCATTGGGTACCAGAAGACAGAATCATAATAACCAATCTTTGGTCAGCAGAACTCTCAAAGCTAGCTGCCAATGCCTTCCTGGCCCAGAGGATCTCATCAGTCAATGCCATGTCAGCTCTGTGTGAGGCTACTGGAGCAAATATCTCAGAAGTTGCCCATGCTGTTGGCAAGGACACCAGAATTGGACCCAAGTTCCTGAATGCTAGTGTTGGATTTGGAGGGTCTTGCTTTCAAAAGGACATACTCAACTTGGTCTATATCTGTGAGTGCAATGGCCTAACTGAAGTTGCAAACTACTGGAAACAAGTCATTAAGGTGAATGACTACCAAAAGAACCGATTTGTGAACAGGGTAGTTTCTTCAATGTTCAATACAGTTTCTGGTAAAAAGATTGCCATTCTTGGGTTTGCCTTCAAGAAAGATACCGGCGACACGAGGGAAACTCCTGCCATTGATGTTTGCAAGGGGCTGTTGGGGGACAAGGCACAGTTGAGCATATATGATCTGCAGGTCACAGAGGACCAGATCAGGAGGGAACTCTCAATGAAGAAATTTGATTGGGACCATCCAATTCATCTCCAGCTAATGAGCCCGGCTGCGGTCAAGGAAGTCAGTGTTGTTTGGGATGCTTATGAGGCAACCAACGGTGCTCATGGGATCTGCATTCTTACTGAGTGGGATGAATTCAAGACACTTGATTACAAGAAGATTTTTGACAATATGCAAAAACCTGCATTTTTATTTGATGGAAGGAATGTTGTTGATGTTGAGAAGCTGAGAGAGATTGGATTCATTGTTTACTCAATTGGAAAGCCGTTGGATGCTTGGCTCAAGGACATGCCTGCTATGGCATAAGATGGAATTTTTTTTGAGTTTCAGCTGCACAGGTAATTATTTGAAATTTTAATTTTCACCTCATGTTTTTACTTTACTTTTCACATGTGTTACTAGTTGCTGTTATCTCAGACACTTCTCAGAGGGAAATTATGACCTTTTCTTTATATTTTTATATATTGGGCATTATAAAATAAAATAAAAGTTCATTGATCTGATCTGAGTAATGAAATAAGCAAAGTCACCGTTTCCTTTTCCAGTAATCTGGAGAGTAGAATTTAACTTTTAAGACCAGGCAGATGTAATGCCTAATAAATTCAAAGATGCCACTTCAACAACAAAACTCTTTCAAAGCTAGATATACCTTTGATTTATTTAAAGGCCTCTGCTTCACAACTCACTTTGTAACAGATTTTTATGTTTTGAGTTATTGCCAAGCTTAGGCTCTTGCATGGGGCGGGTAGGCTGTATTAAAATGTAAGTCAAAAGATCTGATAATCTGTTTCAGAAATTGAATAATGTGATGCTCTCATTCAATACACATGATCTTGCTGATGCAACCCAAGAAGAAGAAAGAAGAAAACAGAAAGGCTTCAATTTTTGTAACAATTAAAAATGATTTTGTTTAGTCTTCTATCACCTAAGAGAAATAATATTTGATTAAGAGGTGCAACATAGTTGATTCAATGCTATCTATCTTATCAGAGGTGCTCAATGTATGCTAATTATTCAACATAAGTATTTTAGTAGAATTTCGTCTCCTTTTGCTCTACCATCCCCAACCAACAAACCACCAGTCAAAGTGATATCTACAATTATCTTCAAGTTCTCAATCCTGTTGTGCGCACCCTTCTCCACGAGGCATTTTCTTTGACATTGCTGCCATTGATAAAAATATTTCAGCAATTCATAGAATCAAATGATACCAAACAGTTATGTGATAGACTAATATACAGGCAATTATATGACGCAGTCATATAACAGATATCAAGCAGTCATATAAGAAACACCGTTTAAATAGAGATATCAAGCCCATATTCCACTTTCACTCCCTTTGCAAAAATACGTTTCAATAACACATACTATAACGTACCTTCACGGACTGATCACCATTGATGCCAAGTCCAACTCTTCATCAGAATCAATCACTTCTTCAAAATTGTAAAAGGGATTAGCCCTTGGTCTTGGAGTAATTGCTTCGAAACTATGAAATACAGGATCATCGAAATTAGGGGGTTCCAAGATAATGTAAGCCCCTTTATTTTTGTACCTCTCCTCTGTGCTCTGAAATTGTGGGTAATCTGGAGCACTAAACAAAGTGATGAGCTTTCCTGACTCCACAATGTGATCGATGGTGTACCCTTCATCCATTCCACCAAGACCTGGCCTCTTTTCTCGTGCATCGGGACCTTCGTGTGATCTAATAATCAATTTAAGTTCACAAGTCTTGAGAAAATCCTCAGTGCAATCAGGACCCCAAAGCAGCCCAATGCCTCTCTCTATATTTGGAGACAGGCCGGGAGACATTGAGGGATCCGACCACAGCACATCACCAGGAATCACGTTGGGACCTTCCCATGGAGGATCAAGAACTGATCTTCGAGCCTTATTCAGTTCTTCAATAGAGCCTAGAGATAACGAACTAGGTTCAGGATTGAAAGCTCTCCGACTCTTCTTTCCCTTTGATTTCTTGGAGATAGCAGGCATGTGGCGGAAAAGACCTCCATGTGCAGTGTACACGTGTTTACCAACTAGGGAAGCCAAGGGAAGACCTTCAAAGCACCCAAGACATTTACGATACATGTGTTTGCCTCTATCACCATACTTTGTCAGCACTTCCTTCTCAAAACCATAAACAGAAGTGCAATACTTTGATTCGTGGTTTCCTCGCAAAAGATACACCCTCTTTGGCATGAGCACTTTCCAAGCTAACAAAATTAAGAAACTTTCGAGACCCCAAGCACCTCTGTCAACATAATCGCCATTGAAGATGAAGAATCGATTTTCTGAGGGAAAGCCAGCATCATGGAGAAGGAAAAGAAGGTCATGCAACTGCCCGTGAAGGTCTCCGACGACAACGACCGTGGATTCAGGGGCTAAGTTGTCAATGGTGACACAATTGGCCTCTTTGTGGAGGATCTTGGAGGCAAAGAGGGCTAGGCTATCAAAAACCTCAACAGGAAACACGTCTGGCAATTGGGTCGGCTCAAGATTTCTAGAAGCCCAGTCGAAGACGGACATGAGGTTTTGGACCCAGTTGAGGGTGAGCTCGCCATCAAGAGGCCAACCAATTGGGGTTTGAAGTTGAGGCGACTGTGATGACAGGTTGTCTTCAGATTCTAAGTTGGAAGCTATGGAAGGCGATGAATTGAAGACTGGTTGTGTTGCTGCTTCTAAATTGGTATCCTCAACCTCATCTGACCTCTTCTTCACCAGCTCGTATATTTGTTTCTTGTAACTGTAGCACAAGATTCACAAATAGGGAAAAATATTAGATTCTGTAATAGATTTTTATGCTGCCAAGATAACTAAAATTAGTTTATTGGAGTAATAAAACACTAAGCAATAACCACCGACTGATCATAGCAAGGTAACTGCATTTCCATTACCTTAGTTCGCGATCTTCTGCTTCAGTGAGCTTCACGCCATCAAAGAAGTATTGCTCATCCTCTATATCGTCTCTGAGATACATGTCAAAACAATTAAGCACCACTGATTGTGCAGTTATACCTTTTAACTATTTCAAAAACAACTATTGCCTGCCAAAAGAATAGAATTTCACCTAGGCAAGGTGGAGGGCTCTGTCGCTGGGTCTATGACTGAAAATGCAAGCTGTGAAGGCAGGGTCTGCAGTCGCTTGTCATGCAAGGACAGCGTTGGGTCGTCATGAAGGGCATGCACAGGCACATCATGCGGGAACTGCAGTGTGTCGCCATGCAGGGCCTGCATAGGCATGTCATGCGGGGAATGCGGTGGGTTGTCATGAAGGGCCTGCACCGGCATGTCATGCGCTGGCAATTCCACAGCGTATGGAGGACCTACCACACCAGCTGGAAGTAACCAGAAAACAAAAATAAATAAATAAATAAAATCAGAAATTTTAAAAATAATAATAATAAGAAAATTTAGAGCCGTGCGGCTATAAAAATCAGAATTATTAAAAATACATTAAAGAAACCAGAGAGCACTTACCTATCCGCATCCCTCTCAAAGGAAACCTGCCAAGCCAGCTGTTAATGTACAGGGGAAAGTGCCCGTGGTCAGCAAGATTTAAATCTTTCTTTGGCCCCTTCTTTCTTACTTCAACCACTACATCAGGAAGCTCTGGAATCGAATCTAGGTTAATATTCTCAAAACCAAACTGCCTAGCATAGTTGTTTGGTTTGTGAGGGACGACTGTGTGATAATTGATGCAGAGCGCGACTGAGCATGCCTTAGCCAGCTGAGGGGCATAACGCTCATAACCCTCCCCTAGAAGAGTATGGCTAAGCCTCTGATAAGGCTGTTGTATGAACTACAATAGAAAATACAAAAGAAATGAATTAAGAACTATATTTCCATATAGGCTCCAAAATTCAGTGTATTTAATTAAGAAATGTAAAGTCTTTTAAAAGACTTACATTTTCATCCGTCGCATTCCCCAAAATTTCCATATAGGCACCAGAATTGGGAACTGTGCTTGCCTTCAAGCGTTTGTGGAGAAGGTGGGACCACGGCACCATTAATGGACACTCCATAGGGAGATCTACTATCTCCCCTATCACCTCTATGCGTAGTGGCTCTATATGCTCTATGGCAAATATCTGGACAAGTAATAAACAAAGATCAGGAAAGTAGAGAAGTTAAAACATCAAATCCTAGTTTAGTAAAAGTGAGAATGGTGATGCTTACCATGAGAGCGTAGGCCAAGCCGTTTACGATTCCTCGATCCAAAGAATTGTGCAAGCTCGCCCATGCGGCTGCTCCCCACGCATAGCTGCCAACCTCCTGAAGATTGTCCAAGAGCCCCAAATATTGGGCAGAAACTAATCCAGTGCAGTCATCTGGTATTAGATATGACCCAATGACATACATGACATAGGCTCTAAGATAGTATGCCCACCCATCCTCATCTGGACGTACTGGGTTATTACTATAATTTTCTCTTAACCAACTAAGCCTAATCCTCCCTCCATCCAAAGACTGTGGAGGAGGATCGATACCAAAAGCATTTAAAAATAAACTTTTGGTTTTCCCTAGCCTACCAATAACCGGTCTACCGTCAATCGGCATACCAGTGATGAGAAGGACATCTACTAAACTAAAATATAGTGAATAACCATTAAAGGTAAAACACTTTAAATTACGATCATAGTGTCGTAGCAAAGCGTTTACCATGGTACAATCCAACCTCATTTGGAACCTAAAACGTTCAAAGAATCCTAAACCCATCCTAGTTAATGCCTCCCTAAGTTCCTCAGTTATTGGCCAACGCACCAAATTGTTCAACGGTTCATTTGGTGTCTATAAAAAAACCAAACAAACAAACAAACATTAGTGTCTAGTTATACTACTGCTGGCCAGCCTTGCAATATCTGAAATAAAATGGGCCATGAGTTACTTACATGAGGGGCCGGAGCTGGAGCAAGAGCTTCCATATCTTCAAAATAATTAAAGAAAACCGCAAATTTCAGATGGTGAATAAATACATAAGTGTTAAATATGTTATGTACCGTTTCAGAAATGTTACAAAAACAAAGTACAATCACATGTACCGTGCCAAAGTGGAAACTGATAAGCAGAGTATAAACCACCATAATGACATTACATTGGGTTATATTCCATAAGCTTAGATTAATTTAATCTCAGGCCCCAAAAGCCTTAATAGACCAAGAAAGATTATAGCTAGTATAATTATATGTAAAGGATCTCTATGTTTAATTTTTCTACTCTATGTGAAGGATCCCTATTAGGGATCTTGAATTTGGGTTGAAGCTCATGGATAAAGTCCCTAAAACCTGCCCCCTCAACTGCCTTAATAAACCCAAAACCAATCAGCCAGCTAAACATATTTCATTCAAAAAATCCTAACCATGAGACTAAACATTTTTCATTAAAACAGCAGCCATTTAAACATGCGTCATTCAAGAAAACAAAAGATCCTAACCAACCATCAGACTAGACATGTTTAATTAAAACAGCAGCCATATAATCAAGTCAAAAACACATGCATTTAAACTCAATCCTAGCAGAAAACCATGTAAACAATTCCAACACACACAAAAACAGCTAAACACTAGCAGTCTCAATCAATCCTAACAGAAAATCAACATATACATTTAATTACATAATTAAAGTTCAATTATACCTCAATATCAGCACCAACAGCTCCAGCACAGCAAAACCCTAGCTCAACTTGCTCAATTTCTGTCCAAAAACAGAAAACCCCCCATCAACATGAAATTCAGAAACCAAAAACCTTATGTAAACCCTACTTCAACCCTCAAATTAATGTAGCCGACCCCTAATTTAGGAAAAACTCAAATCAAAACCCTCAAATTAGTAAAAAACCCCAATTGAAACCCTAATCTAGCCGAAATCCAAATTCAAACCCTATTCAATACTTACCCAGCGACGGTGGAGGTGAGAGATTTCAGAGAGATGAGAGGTTTTCAGAGGTTTCAATTGAGAGAGACGAGAGGTTTTAGAGGTTTTGATCGAGAGAGACGAGAGGTTTTAGAGGTTTTGATCGAGAGAGATGAGAAGTTGCAGAGGTTTTCGATTGATGTAAAGAGGGGAGGAGGAGGTTTAGGGCCTGTTTGGTATCCTATCCAAGTAGGGTACTTAAAAACTGTTATTTTTCTTAAAAACAAGGAGTTCAAAAATCCATTTTTTAAGATTCAAAAAGTTGTTTGGTATGCAACTTGAAAACTATTTTTGTATCTTTAAAATTTGAAAACTTGTTTGGTTGAATTCTTGAAAACAATTTTTTTTCTTCATTTTTTGTAATTAAGATATTTTGATAAACATTATCAAAATTATATTAAACATACTATTTTAACATCCATATTTTAATACCGTACATATATGATCGACAAGCTCAATTGGTCTTCAAGTCTTAAATAATACATATTAAAGACAGCATTCTAATACTCAGTGTTAGCACAGAGCTTACAATTCATTGTTAAAGGAAATATCAAATTTGGGGATCACCTGAAAAATTGTATTAAACACCTCCTGTGTTACCAAACATGTGCTAAAATGCTTCAGTTAGGCAACATCTGCAGATGTTCATTTAGTTGGACAGTAAGAACCAGGCACTTGGAGAAACACAAAATTACAGCATATCCTGCAAACTATACAAACAAGATGTAACAAGAGAATTACTCTCTCTCCTCCTACCTAATATAAGAACTAAAAACAGAGATATTATGATGCAATCAAATTTGAAACTTTGTGAATGCCAGCAATACAATTTGTCATGTTTGGTAACTCAAAGAGTAGCATTGTTAACTTTGTGAATGGCAGATTATAAAGACAGCATTCTAATACTCAAAAAGTGTCAACTGTCAGCTCCACAACATCAATTACCAAAGCAAGTCTCTTCTTGTCTCAAATTCTCTGCTTTCAGGCTACTTAGATAGCACTGCTTGTAACAATGATATTTCGCCACTCCATAACTTAACCCTTCCCTATGATAAGTTCGAGTTGGCTTCAAACCAAGCAGACTTCTTTTTGCTCTACAATTGCAACTCTTATGTGGTTGAATCATGTACTGAAGTATCCTCCCCATCAGTACATACAGCTTAAAGATTGAAATAAAACCAACATAATTCTCAAGTTGAGAGGCTAAGATGTAAGCAGAGACCCAGAGAGTGAGTTAACACAGCCAAGACCCAGGCATAGAATGTTATTATGCAGACATAATAAAGAAAAGCCTACTGGTAAGTTGTAACTTGTAGCAGTCTCAAATTGATTGTGCTTGCTTACCCTTAATCTATGGCACCTTAACTTCTAATCATCTACACCAACATTTATAACAGAAAAGGGATCAGTCCCAGACTGTTGTTGTTCACTATCAATGCCTAAATAGCGTATGTATCAAGCATAATCCCAAATCAAATCTCACAAACCCAGATGCATATTAATCTGAACCAATGTACATACAGGATAACTAGGTGGATATATAAGCAGCACATACCCTAAAACTCAAAGATTGATAACACATATTTAATCCGAACCAACGTACAAATCCCTAATTTCCAAATTCACAGACACATAGCAACAGAAATTTCAAAATCCGATTAAAAAGGAACTGTAGTTAACCCAATAATATCTCCACCACAAACACAAAATAAACCTCAGAGCTTTGTTGCTTTGTTACAATCTCTTGGCCTACTTCTTAACAACAATCAGGACAAAATATTTCAATAAATATAATCAGAAACTCACATTACCAACAAACAAAACCCAGCTATCCAAAAAAAATTGCGAAACCAAAAGACAAAAGGAATAGAAAGAAGCAAACTGACCTTTAATATTGGAAATGCCCAATTTCTAGGGTTTGAACTGATGAGAGAGAGGAGGAGAGAGGTAGACAGAGAGAGGGACGAAGAAAGAGATGGAGAGCGATGGACCAAGAGAGCTTGAAGCTTGAGCGAGAACCAGAGCGAGCTCGAGCGAACGACGCGAGAAAAATACATAAAGAAAAACGCATGTGTTATGTTTTCAATTAGAGGGGTCTTTTTGAGTTTGTTTTGGGTTTGGGTTTGGGTTTTTCAAAATTGGCCTACCAAACGAGTTTTTGGGTCTTTGAACTTAAAATTTGTTTTTGAGTTTATAAAATTGGACTCAAATCAAATACCAAACATGCCCTTAAAGTTTGAGATTCGAATCGATCATACCAAGGGGGAATTTTTTTTTGAAGAAGGGGGCACCATTCGTGTCATGCGCGACCCAAGGGTCGATATGCGGGTTCAGTTCGGGTTTTCGCTACCCGGCTCACCCGAACTCAATCAAGGTCGTTGACTCTACATACCGATCAGCAGGATCGACGCTTGCTATGCTTTTGTTCTCTTAATTTCTTTTAGCCTCCTCCCGGCTATACTCAGTTTTTCCCATATTGTCTTTAAGAATAGTATAGCCGGGCGGCTATACTCCTCTTTAACATTTTTAAAACGAAAATCGTATAGCCGCACGGCTGTAATTGTTCGACACGTGGCGCGTATATAAATAGTATAGCCTTCCCGGCTACAATGGATTCTTTTCGAATTTTTTTGAAGAAATCGTACAGCCGAGCGGCTATACTCGTTTTCCTTTTTTCAAAAGGTGTCGAATTTTTTTGAAGAAATAGTACAGCCGCGCGGCTATACTCGTTTTCCTTTTTTTTTATTATAAAAATAAAAAAAAGCTGTCTGGACACGTGGCACCCACCCATGCGATGAGCCAGTCTTTTTTTAATGTATTAATAGTATAGCCGCGCGGCTATACTGTTTCATAAAAAATAATTTGAAAACCCTCTAAGTAGTTTCTTTACTTTTGTTTTTTTGCCCTACTTCTTTAATTTAGTACATGTAATTAAGTAATACCTTAGCCTTTTTCAATCACTTTAAATTGTAATTATATTTCATTTATCATTTAATACATAAAAATTATAGAAAAAGTCCACAAAATGATTGATCTCTATGTACTAAGTCCTTTGTGAAATCGTTTGGGTGTTCCTAATTAAGTTTCTCCATCTCCCAAGAGCCCAAAGGCCCAAGTCTTTGATTAATATAATTATTATTCATGAGAGCGAAATTCAAAGCCTTGCCTATTGGCCCAACACTCCAATGTTAACCCACTTATCAAACTATCATAGTTCTTTGTTTATAAACACTTCTGTAAGAGTGTAGATTTTCGATGTGGGATTTTCACAAGGGCAACTCAAAAGATGGGCCTATTCTTGTATTTATCGACCCTGATAATATTTGGCTTCTTATAGCTGATGTTTACTATTCTCTAATGAAAAAAGACATGCCTTCACCCCCTACATCAGACACAGCTGAAATCATACAAATTCCGCCCCCATCCTTATCTCCAAAAGAGTACCTTTATGTGCAGTATGGAGGGCAGTGTTATGGTTTTGATGTTGACTTCCATTCTTTGTAAATATAGGAACCAAATGAAAAGGATACCGCACAAACCAATACCGATAATTTTCCATGACGGGCTCTTGATGGTTGCTGCTTCCTTGATCTTCACTTTGTTTCCTGTCTTGGCCGTTTTGAGCAGTGCTTTCATGCTCCTTTCCCTTTTCATAGGAAACAGCAACCTCTTTGCATTTGGCTGATGATACAGAGTTTGAACTCTGCCCCACTTCCATTTGTCTTCTAACCTGATAGGATTGCCTTCTCCAGTGAAACTTAAATATGGTATTTTGTTATTCAAAACTGGCATATGCACCATTGGATGGTTTGAATAAAGAATTTGTCATGGCCTTATTGCCTTTGTTGATTTTCGGATCCTTCCTGTTTTGATGTTCGTTTCTTTTTGGATGGATTTGACCTTATGCTGAGACCTGTATATAAAAACCTCATACACAAGATGATATACATTACAGGGGCCAAAGGTCAGAAGGAGCCTAACCTGTGATTTTGAATGATAACGTTAATCAGTTCCCCTTCCTGTTGGCTTCCCACAGAGTTAGCCTGAAATCACATGTTCTGCAGAGTTAGCCTGGAATGACGTCGAAATTCATGGCCGCCCTTATGTCTCCACAGAAAGAGAAGATAAAGCAAAATGATACATCAATTGAATTTGTACTTGCATGCCATGACAACATCTCCCAATCTGTATGAATGTAAAACAAACACAGAAGATCTGAATGCTGGTAACAATATAGTACAGAGAGATAGAGATAGGGTGATATATATTCTGTATGTGGGGGGGGAGAGAGAGAGAGAGAGAGATTATATGTGTATTGTGGTTTTCA